AGCCTCAGTGTAGCACATATTTTGGCAAGACATTGAGATTTAAAGTGCTGAAAACAGGATTGTTCCTAAAAGTCAGCGTTGCTTAATATCACTACATCTCAAAAAGGGCACAGAGCACTTACGTGTTTAAAATTGTATTGTGCTGGTTTAAAACACTTTTAAGAGACAGTGTGCAACTATTGTCAAAGAAAATAGGTATGTCTATACACCATATGAACGACATTATTAAAAAAACACCAAGCGTTACTGAATTATTGGGCAATACCAACATTTTAAACAAAAACATCCAACAACATACTTTTGGATTTTGGCTCCAATACATTTTGAATATTTATTGAACATAACAAAAAAAAACTGAAACTATACTATTGTGATCAACAAGTGGGATCCAATGCCGAACGTCACTCATGCGGCCATTTATATTTTAACGCAACAGGAGAATTCTAACAGTTTGGTGCAAGTTTTGGTGCAAGTTTGTTCTGTCCCCAGCCAACCATCGCTTTTTGAATGAAGTTAAAAGTGTTTTTCAAGGCTTTAGGGTAGTCCAAGTGTAAGGCATATGATAGCCCAAACAAGAGGCAAAGTGCTAGAGGTAAGTTTAGGACATCATCCATAACAATGATGGCAGTAGACGCTGCGTCAAGGTGGAGTCGATTTGGAGAGAGCAGTACATCTTCACCGATGACAGTCAGCACCCCAACAGATGCCCAGGCATCATCATGGTCACAATCCTGTGTAAGACCAAACAAAAACGAATTGTCACTGCAATATATGTGGCTATATTGCAAATTAAGTATCAAGTCTTTCTCACATGGTTGAAATGTGGTGGTCTAAAGTCACTGTGACCTCACAAAACTCTGGCCATAATCAAAGAAATCACATGCTGATTATGACAATTTAACACAAATGTCTAGGATGGAATGCAACTATAAGAACTTACAAAGCAGGTGTGGTATAAGTTACTGGGGTCATCACCAAGTAGAACTGAGAGGCCTCGGAGTACAAGGGTGTGCATCGCTGTCACATCCGATTTCTAGAAGTGGAGAATTAACAAAAGAAAGATCATTATGCAACATTCAAATCTGACAATAAAAATATGTTTGTCAATGTGACAATGAAACAAGTGTCACCAGACTGTTTGACAGTACAGACTTACCCGTGAATCAATTTGCTGCACAAGCTCAGACATTGTCTCTCCAACACCTCCTTTCTTGGACTTCCAGATATTATTAATATTTATAATATTTCGAGAAAGCGTGATGTGTAGGGGTACAGAGCATCAAAAACGTCATTCTGCAGGTTTGTGGTGGCTATCCTGTTAAACTCTGCGAAAAAGAAAGAATGACAGACTAAATCCAGTTTATCATAGTGGGAAAAAAACAAAAAAAGAGAGAATATCTCTATAATATATATTACTTAATGGGCTTTCTGTAAAAAGACCTGGCCACCTCTCCTTCAATGTTGTCACTGGAGGTCCGGCCTCCACAATCTTCCATCTCCGCAGTGCGAAGGTCTGGTCCATCTTTGATGCGATCACAGTTCCACCGGGGTTCCATCTTTTCATCTCCTCAACTAGAAGCTTTCTCACAGCCTCTAGGCTATCTTTATCATGACCATCGGGGAGATCTGGGAGGTAATTTACCTCAAACCTTTCTGGTGACTTCGGCCTTTTGATGCCATTTCAGGGATACCTTGTTTGCCCCCATTTATAGCAACCTCTACACATCCCGCTCTTCTCAATTTAGTGCGATAGTTCCCCATCTTAAATTTGAATCTATTCTTCCAAACAGAACATCCATCTAGTGAGCCTGGTTCCTTCAGGCAGGGATGTTTGCTAATTAGTGGCAATGCCATGGAATGGATCCTTTCTTCTTTTGGATAGGCATCAAATAAGTAAATCGTTTCAGCAAGCTTTTCCAAAATACTATGCGTCTCTCGGTATATTCAGGTATGTCTGTTCGCGCAGACATGCCTTATTAGCCTGTCTCAGTCGGAATTCCACATCAACTGAGAAATTTGGAATGTCAAAAAACTCAGGCCATTGCTTTTGTCTCGGTGATGAGCTGTGCATGGACAGAATCTCTGTATCATCAGAGGCATTGGAGGCACCAGACAAGCTGGTGGTGGTGGCACTCACCATGCAGCAATGGAATGACCTTAACAGTTTAAGCAAAATTGGTTCTCCGGCAGATCATGAATCTGTTAACTGAAATATCATCCAAATTCTAGGCTATTGGCATTTTACCTTTAGTGAACTGGCATCCCGTGGTAATGAAGCAGCAGAGTTGCCATGAGCACTTTTTCTGAAAGGGAAAAATTGGGAAGTTGTACTTAGTGTATACATATACCCTATTGATATGAATACAATTATACTTTAAAAAATACTTAGTTTTGTCATGCTTCCTGCTGAGTCTACAAGAGTCAAAGAAGCTAGCTAAGATCACCAATATCACTTGTCTAACGTCACCATGCTGCACATTGAGATGATTTCGCCTTCCTTATCTTTTACAGGCAGCTTAATGCAGCTAACAGCTCGAGAGGGGCACATAAAAAGGTCAAATTCATGAGGCCAAAGAACGGTGTGCAAGCGCAACTGCAGCTTTAACGGGGGACTTTCCCCACTGCAATCTAACTAACGTTGCATGAAACCAATGGCTACTCGTGTCGACTTGACTTTGACTATGGCAGTGTTTTGGAAAGACTATCACAACGGCACTAGCGTCATTAAATACACAGAAGTCGCAAAGATTCACCGAAATGTAAACACCATAACGTCTTCACGTGACTTTATAGTTTCCTTCAACCACGCTTTGCATGCGTCACGTATTGAAAAATAATATAACATCACCATCAATTTCGCGCGACCTGCGTCGAAAGGGCGCTCGCTGCGTCAACTCGAAGAATCCAAAGATGTAAAACGTCTGAACAAGTTTAGCCAGAAGACGGATGGGCAGAGCTTGTAAGCTAGCTAGCTGTGAGCTAGCTTACAAGCTAGCTTGCGTTGGCTCGTTAAGGGTTAGCGAACTCGGGCAAGCTAACATTGGTAGCAGTCAGAAACTCTAAACATTTTACAAACAGGTATTGTTCGCTCAATAACATACCTTAATATTCTTCAAAAAATCAAAATCCATGCAGTGTATTTCTTACATCGGTTTCTCGGCAGCGCGATCCACCTCACACATGGACCGGATGTCAACATAGCTGTGGTAGGAGAAGCCATGCGAGCGAATGACAGAGCCGAGAGAGTTGGTGTAGAGAGAGAAGAGGAGGGGACCCAGGACGGAACCCTGAGGAACTCTGGTAGTAAGAGGACAAGGTTCCGACACAGATCCTCGCCAGGTTACCCGGTAGGTGCGGCCGTCAAGGTAGGACGAGACAAGGGAGAGAGCAGAGCTTGTGACACCAAGTTCCTGAAGGGAGGAAATAAGGATCTGGTGGTTTACTGTGTCAAATGCAGCAGAAAGGTCCAGAAGGATGAGGACAGAGGAGAGAGAAGCAGCTCTAACAGTGTGGAGTTGCTCTGAGACAGCGAGGAGAGCAGTCTCTGTGGAATGGCCTGCCTTGCAGCCTGACTGGTAAGGATCGAGAAGGTTGTTACGGTGGAGATACCAGATAATGACTTGCTACATTCTTGCTACATCAATTTGGAATGGAATGATTAAAAAGTAAAAATGTAATACATGTTTCATTACATAACTGATTAAATGGTGTAATATTTAAGAGTATGAAGTGGCGCACATGCATTATTTCAATAGTAAAGTTGGATAAATCAGTATCCGAGTATGTTTTGCATGTTTTCCATCAAACATTTTGTTCGGAAGGTTAATACGTATGTAACTCATTGTCAGATATTAGGTGTGTAATTACATATGTTATTAGGTTTTATGATAGCATTTACGGGAATTAAAAATATTTTTAAGACAAGTCCCCAAATTTGCTTTAAATTTAAAACTTGTAATGGAGGATAAATAGATGTCCTGAACACATTCATCAATCATCCTTTGGACTTATTGAGAAAAGTATTTTCATTGCCATTCAAACATTTAGAAATTATCTTTTTGAAGTTGCAAAAATAGGACTTCTGCTTTGGATAATTCTCTACATTTGTACAGTGAACATGTTTAATTTTTAAAGAGTAGTCAGAGAGGTCCTAACACATGTGCATTGGTCTTTGTGTGGAATTATTGGGAAGATTTTTTTTATTGCAGCTCAAATATGGAGAAATTATCTTTTTGAACATATACTTATGGGACTTTTACTTTGGAGAAATCTCCAAATCTGTACAGTAAAAACACTTGATATTCATCATGCTAGTAGTCAGAGAGGTCCTTAACACAAGTACATTGATCTTTGCCTGGAATTATTGAGAAATATGTTTTTATTGCTGTCCAGATACGGAGAAATTGTGTTTTTGAACTGTTTTTGAAGGGCTTTTACTTTGAAGAAATCTCCAAATCTGTACAGTAAAAATATTTCACTTTTCTTACAACAGTAGTCCGAGATGTCCTAAACACATGTATTTGACTTTGACTGTAATTATTGAGAAAGTATTTTTATTGCAGTTCAAACTTTGATAAATGGTCTTTTGGACTTTGAAATATAGGATAATTATCTAATTATGTACAGTAAACGTATTCCTTTTTTGTACAATAGTAGTCAGAATGGTCCTGAACACACATATTTCAGTCATTGTCCAGAAAAGGGGTCTTCGACGCTTTTCAGGCCAAGGACCCCCAAACTCATGGCGAGATGGAGCAGGGACCCCCTATTCTACGGAGTTTGGTCCGCCATCTTTTATTTTTGAGCGCTGCTGAGATTACTACGGAAATCCGAGTGTCGGCTGAAAAACAGGTGGCAACGGCACAGAAGCGTCGTAATAAAAATGTAACTGCACCATGGGGCGAAAAGTCACTACCCAGCCTATAAAACACTGCCATCGTCTGGTGAGCTGTGGTGGACAGCTCGAATCCCTTCCACCAAATACATCTACACATTTGTGAAATTGCATAACAGGTTGGCAGATTTGAGTTTTGTTACTCGTCGACTGGTGGCGCGTAAACGACGTCTTTCCCCAAAACCCCCGAATTAATTCACGTTTGGGTGCAAGTCGCCATTTGTTTTTGTTTTTTTGCATCTGGATCCCGCAGAGTTGGCACACCACGACTCCAACTGGAAGCTTCTCTCAGCTGCACCAGAAAACCCCCTTACAGCTCCCTCACCAGGTCTCCCCGGGATCCGTGTTTTGCACCGCTCTTCAATTTGCATTTCTTACTCGGATTCTCCGTGCGACGGGATCAGCCACTCGAAACCAGCGGGCGCTCCACGGCTCTATTGTTCGTACGCGTCCATTTCCAAAGCAATACGCGCAGAAAAGGAACAGAAAAAAAGCACTGGAAATTTTGAATAATGTTAGCGGAGATCCATGCGGGAGAACACTGAGCACCTTTCGCTTTACCGTTATTTCAGTTGCGTACCTACGGAGACGGACACGTGTCTTCGGGGTAAACAGAAAGGGCTAGATCGTGTCAGTAGATTACCTTTGTTTTTCTTCCTCGCTTTTGTTTGTCACAGACGACCAGCTTGGCGACCAGCTATACATTTCAGTTTCTGCGCCCTGGTGATAAAGACGCATTGGGAGATGTCGGAAGTGCTGCCTTTCAACGAAGAAAAAATGAGTCATTATGGAAATGAAGGCGACGAGGGACACCTTTCCTTCACCTGTCGTCTTCAAGACACCAACAACTTCTTCAATGGATCACAGAACAAACGTCCGCCGAAACTCGGACAAATAGGCAGGAGCAAACGGGGTAATTATATAATTAAGGCGTGTTCGTTTGTAAGGTGATGTGTTGAATGCGCACGTAGGTTACCACTGGACCATAATTAAGGATGTTCCCTGTGAGGACAGAAAGGCAACACCTTTTGCATGGAAGTGGTCTCAAACAGAGCGTATATCAGACGCATTGGTTTATTTTTGCATGCGTGTGTGATGTATGGGTTATTAAATATTTCATTCGCATTGCAACACGAGTTGGATGCGCAGTGCGTGCTGTTAAACGCCTTGTGAATGCTAGCCAACAGAGTTGCTGAATGTCCCCTCCCCAATAATCGGAAGGATTGAGATATGGCATTTGTGTTTGCATGACCGATTAATGCTCTTTGTGTGTGGTGAGACCCGCGAAATGCTCGCTGAAATTGAGGCTCCCTTGTGGTAGTACTCTCATGGACAGACACAGTTGCATTAACAGGAGCACACAGACACTACACGGACCAAGATGCCACAGGCAGACATGTAATTGCAAGTAGTTGAGGACCCGCAGAGACCTGCAGAAATGTACACGCACGTATTTTGCATAGGCTACTCTACCTCTCCTGCATGCACACACCGCTACTGCTCATGCAGTGTAGGGGTGATGGTTTTGTGCTTTAATGTCCTCCTGTCTCTGGTTGTGCTTCGTGAGACCCCCCCTCCCTTTCCTCATTAACTCTCTCCCATGTCATCCACAGTTGTTATTGAGGATGAGAATGGCGACAACGAAGCACAGAAAAATGGAACAGAGAAGACCCCGGCAGAGGCTTAGAGCGCTCGGCTTCAACAACCCCCAAAAGACACTCTTGAAATTTTGAATGGTGATGTTGAGCAGTTTTAATCCAAAGACACTGTATATAAGCACTTTCTCTCATGTGGCAGCAAGCAGCACTTCCACGCCTTGCTCTCCCAGTCGGTTGTGGCCATCCAGGTGAGGAGGACTGGCAAGGGTGGGAGATGGCATCGAAGGAGACCCCCAGGTGGACCCCCTCTCTCCCTGACATACACACACACGCACACAGACAAACACCCTCAATTGCAGGGTTTCGCCATAAATCCAACAGCAGTAGAAGACAACAGAGGGTGGGGGGTTGAGGTGGAAGAAGGATACCACGCCGTTGAAATGCAGAAATCAGGGACATGATACAGAAATAAATATGATATAAAACTAAAGCACACACTTCTCCTATATCTTATCAATCAAACCTATGATATCATCATTTCTGCTCTTTGATCCAGGGCAACTTGTAAATATGGAAAGGGTAGCCCATATTTTCTTGCACAAAGTGGAAAACTGGTTTGTCCTGTGTTGAAGACTTTATTTATTGATCCTTTGGAATATGTGTTTTGCAGAGACTTAAGGCCAGAGGGGGCGTTCTTTTGTATGTCGATAAAACTTGAAATGAATGGGAGTGATTTCTTTTTTTTCTTCACTTAACAATTCTTGATGTTGCCTGAGTGTTTTTTGTTACGTATACTTTGCAGCTAATGAGTCATTTATATACAGTGTACCTCCCACCTGTTTGTAAGCTTCCCAGGTTTTCACCTGGATTGGTTAATTATGTAACTTGACTGTACACACCCTATTGATAAACTATTTATATTGCATTGTGCATTATTGTGCCAAATCTCATGAGGAATAATACTGTACGAGAAAACTTATTTTTTTGTGCTTTATACATTAAGTCGTACAATTCAGTTGTTTTATTGGGTTGCCATTTTTAGGGCCCTTCTCAAAACACCGAGATACCAACTCATGCATGGCAAATATAAAATCATGCATGCACGGCAGACGCTCTGAAACTCTGTATTCTTGAAGCACCTCGTTTACAGCTTTGAATGACAAACCTTGAGAAACAGTCTTAATTCTCCGTAGTACTGTCCCATTCTCACTGATTTGTACAGTGGCCTAATATCTTGTAATAAAGATTATGATAAAGTACTATTTACTGTTTAGTGTTGATTGTGGTTTAAGGAATTATCTACTTGATGTTGCTTTTTGTTTTTTAAACTAACTGTTTCAAAACTGTAGCAAAACACAAATAGAGTTTTGTATGAGAGATGAAGACACACACACTAGCTTGGCTGATGTTTGGACATGTTACTTGTACAGGTGCGCCTGTTATTGGATTGCCTATCTGACTGCCAAGGAAGGTCAAGTCAGCATTTTCCACTGTGACAAAGTAGCATCCCATTCTTTGGAAAGGTCAGATTGTGAGGACGCAGAAAATTGGAAAAAAGTAATTCCATCAAGAATTTGAAATCCACACTCCTCATTTTGTTTAAGTGTTAAGACACTTGGCTTCAAACCACTGCGCAACGGACTGCAATATCAGAAAATACAGTATTGCAAATTATTCTGTGGGGAAAAAATGTACTTCACTGCTTCCCAATGCAATAAATGGTGGTTTACATCTAAAATCTCTGCTCCTCTCTTTAATCAAGTCTTCTTTTTAACTCCATTGCCAGGCCGGTAAATGGTTCGGGTGCACTCAGGTGTGATGCACATTGATGGGACATGACATTTCCAACTCTGCTGTGGTGACTAAATGATTCATGCTATGACGAGTCTCTGTCGGTGTACGGCATCTTAATCCCGGACCACCGGGATGTAAGCTAGGAACATACATGCATCAAATACACATACAAAAGGGATGTGAGCTTGAAAAACGCATACATGTAGCAAACACTCATACACTCACACACACATTCACACGCCTCTGTTTCAGCTACAACTGCTGGGCGAGACTAAAATATAGTCTCTCTCTTCCTTCCCGGTCTTGACAGACATGAAAGGGGCTGCCTGAGCTGGGTACCATGGTAACAGATGCACCTTCCACTTGATGGTGATGCGGTGGGTTCTCGGCGCAGTAGTCTTTCCTGAGCATCGGCATGATAAGATCGCTACATTTAATGGAATGTTCTCCATTATCTTATCTCTGCCCTCTTCTCTCAAGGCCTCCTTTCACTCAGTGGTGTGACCGCATTATCCAGCCAAAATAGTCCTTTCTTCCAGGATGGCAGTCAGGCATGACGATGGCCCCTACTGCAGTAACGTCCTTTACCCTCACACAGAATGAGAGGATTTTACATTAAAGGAGCAATGATCTATGATTTTTCCAAGCGGAGGATCATTTTGTCCCAAATGTTGCATGGAAGGCATGATGTGATCGGATTGAGCTTGGCTCAGATCAGTCTGTAAACAAAGGGTCAGATAATATTCACTCAGAGTAAACCCCCTAGGACTTAACTAGTGACATAGTGCAGAAAATCACAACTGCATTATCCTAAACAATCACCACCCACTGCTGAATGTGTGATTTTCTCAATGTGTCAAAAAAAATTCAGTGGAATGTTATAATAACAAGCCCATCAAACAGTTGTAATGATTTGATCTATAAGCGTATCAATTGGTTGATATCATTTCACAAACCTAGTATATAGAAAGACTTTAGATGAATACATTTGAATGCATCGCCTTAATTTGGATTCAATTTAAGTGTGCACAGCTTTCTTTTACAGCATTTGAGAACTGGAGCCTCCCATTCTTCCAAACTAATAATACAGTATTTTAAGTAATAAAGATCTCAGATACTTTTCATCAAAACATTGCAGTTAAAGCAGAAATTACTTCAGTATAAGTATATGATTAACAGGATCATAATAAAGTGGCCAGTCAAGTCAAGTCAAGTCATTTTATTTTGTATAGCCCAGAATCGCAAATTACAAATTTGCCTCAGAGGGCTTTACAGTCTGTACACATACAACATCCTCTGCCCCGAAACCCACCATCGGCACAGGAAAAACTCCCCAAAAAATGAAAAAACCCTTACAAGAGGGAAAAAAGGGAAGAAACCTTAGGGAGAACGTCAGAGGAGGGATCCCACTCCCGGGATGGACAGACTACAATGGATGCCATGTGTACAGAATGAACAATGTATAATACATGCAATTCCTATGACAGAAATGATTCAAGTAATTGTGAGTAGTAAGCCAGGCGCACAGCAGGACCACTGCAGGGGCAACCACCATCAGATAGAACCACCATCCACAGAATCCTGTGGGGAGGGAGAGCACAGAGATTTTAGGAGAGGGTAATGTCGGTTTATGAGTAAAGTAATATGATTAATATCTAAAATAATGATGATGATGATGATGGCAGCAGCAGGCGTCAGCATGGCCACGGTAGGTGTCAGGACCAGGGTCCCGAAGGAACCACGATCTACGGAGACCTGATAGGGGCGAAAGCACAAAAAAAACTCCCGGAAAGAAGCTGAATTAGTCATGTGCATTAATAAAACTTGAATTATGGTAGAACGAGAGCGTAAGAGAGGAGCTTGGTGTGTCCTAAGAATTCCCCCGGCATTCTAAGCCTATAGCAGCTTAACTAAGGGCTGGTCCGGACTAACCTGAGCCAGCCCTAACTATAGGCAGAATCAAAGAGGAACGTTTTAAGTTTTACTTTAAAAGAGCTGACCGAATCTGCCCCCCGGACTGAAAGTGGAACCTGGTTCCACAAAAGAGGAGCTTGATAACTGAAGGCTCAGTCAAGCAGTGTACCTCTTTTATCAATGTATTTCTATGAAAGACTAAGCTTATGTAAAAGGATAAAGAAAAGAAAGAAAAAAACGAGCTGTCGAGCTGCCTTTTTATGTAATTTCTTGATTAATAGTCAGTTGGACCATTATTTTTATTATAACTTTATTTACTGGAAATGGAACCAAGGCCTAATTTAAGTTGTGCGTCGTGACCTTGTGTTTCAAATTAAATCTAAATCTAAATTTAAGATCTGGTTAGAATCAGATCTGAGGCACAATCTGCTGGCTAGTTCATGATCTTCATTAAAATTCCTCTTGCTCTTTTGTTCCTCCCAAATATTTAAACATAATAGAAATATGAGTGTTGAGTCGACTTCACAAAGCTCTACCGCAGTCTGCTCAGTGACACATCTCACTATTGACAGCATCATGGTGCAGTAAATCACAGGGAAGGAAGATATATATTTGTACGGGTAGTTAATACACTACATACCAGTTGAGATACATTACACATATTCGTAAAAAACAATACTCATCTCAAAAGTTAGTTACACAATTAATCACACAAACCCCCAGACAGTAGCTGCACACTGATATAATGCTAAATCCTAATCCAATCACAGAGATGCAGCAGATATTGTAAACCTCAGGCGGGTCAATAATTTGAGGTCATACTTTGGCTGGGTGACCATCGGTGTTATGAGACTTAAATTAAACTGAAGAGAGACGATAACCTCCATTATTGTGATTCATGTAATGGGAAGCGCTCTATTACCCATAGTCATTCACAATTTGGATAACGTTTTGGCAAATGGGTTTTGGTGGTGAGCAGGGATGAGAGGCTAATTACCGATGCTGTGAAAGGAGGGTGGCTGTGAGTTATAAGCTCTGACAGGTGTGGAAGAAAAGACAGACAGAAAGACAACATCGAAGGAGCCAAATAGAAAAGGGAAAGAGACCGGTGAAAGCATGCATAGTTTTACTGACACAAGGGGGGAAACCCCTCCCTGCAAGCCTCTGGTTAGCTGCCCACACACAGGCATACACACACACTGAAAGCACTGTGTTGTCATTGAGGAAACCCAGTGCATTTCTCTGCACCTGACTATTCTGAATCTGACCTTTGTGTCGCAGCATGATGAAATGCACACTGGGAAACAACCCCTCCTCCTTGGAGCAAAGAATTACCTTTTTTATTTGTATTTGATGCAGTGATAGAATGTTTACCGCATGCAAATGACTGGGGCAACTTTAGCATTTCTTTCCACTCCATGTGCGTTTCTTGTCTGTGTGTACATGTGCAAATGTTGGTGTATCTGTGTATAGACGTGCGCACATATCATTGTGTAAATTCCTGTGTGTGTAGTGGGTAAGAGCAAGTGCCAGTGGGATCAGGTATTCTCTTGCTTGTTTAGAATCTGATGTGAATTCAGATCTCCAACAGCTGATTACAAGGAAAAGAGAAATGCAGTCTTGGTTGCAGTCCTGGTTGGAAAAATGAATGAATATCCCACCAGACATCACACCAGAATCTTTCATTTGCACAAACATTTTTTTTGTTGTTGTTTGTCTGGGCAGAGCAGAATCCGAAGGTTTAACCCCCCACCCCCAAAAAACCTGCCTATGATATAATCGCAAAACATACTTTTATTGCAGCTAAATCGAGATTGCAAATGACTTCAATCTTTCAAGAAACTACCATCTGAAATACCAATCCAGCTTTTACATATCTCCAAAACTTGAACAGAAACCAAATGCTGGCTCTATGCACATTTTCCTCATGTATTGTTCTTGTCTTAAAAAAGGTCAAGAGTCCATATTTAACAGATGGGACTTTCAGGTCAGTCAGATAAATGCACAAACAGCCAAAAAGATGGGGACCACATTCACTCTTTTTCGCTCGTTTTTTCAAGGAAACTGAAGCGAGCTGGAAGAGGCAGGAAAAGGGCGAGAGGAGGCGGGACAGCATGAAAGCAGATTGGAAAGAGAGTGGGAGAGCGGCACGAGGGGGAGATGAGGAGATAAGAAGGAAGGAGAGCCAGGAGAGAAGGAGGAAAAGAGAGGATAAACAAAAGTGAGAGTAGAGGAAGAGAAAGAAAGACACAGGCTCAATATGATGAAATGAATGTCAGGGAGAAACAGTTCAGACCCACCAGATGGTTACTATAGCAACCATATCCCCAGTCGCTCTCTCTCTGTCTCTCTCCCTCTCTTTCTCTTTTCCTCTGCCTAGTTGCGTTGTTGCTGCTTTAAGTCTGTTGAGGGAAACCAACAGCTGAGGGAGACAGCTTTTTACATTTTGGTGCAGTGGCATTGTAAAGCCATTAGCAACTTTACATACATGTGTGCACATTTTTGTAGACTTGCTATGATTGGTGTTTCTTGGCTCCTGTTTTTTTATTTCTGTTATGAACACCATGTGAAGCAGTAATCCCAAGACATAACTCCCTGCAAAAGTGCACGTGTGTTTAAGGGTTAGAAATGATCAGCCATGCATTACAGCACAGTTCACAAGTGCTTGGTCACAAACAGTTCAGGGAAAAGGCACCAGCAAGAGTCTCTATTGAAAATGAGCAAATATCATGTTCTAGCCATGACCCTGCCCTATTCAGAGATACACAGGCATTTAGTGTATGTACATTGCGTCGCTATGAGCACCACAGATAGATTGAGATGCTGCTTCTCCACTACTTCTCCTTCGAGATCATTTTCCACTCTGCAACATGCAATAAAACCCCAAAATATTAGATACACAAACACAAGCGTGTGCGAGCCCAGTCTTGCACCATGCATGCATGCATGCATGCATGCACGCCCTGCACACACATTAACACACACCAGCCATGAAATATCCAAACTGGGATGCACGACAAAGGGAAAAGCTTTCAGGCCCCCAGCTAATCTCATGCATGCAGATCATTTTCAAAACGGAACAAAATGGTGGACCATCTCTTGGTGGCTGAGTGGGTCTCTGCAGGGCCCCCGGGGCGGGATGCCATGTAACTGTGTACGTGTGCCTCCTGAATAAAAGATGCTGACCTAGATGGAAATTTGCCATTGGTCACTTAATTTGCAACATGCGTAATTGGTCCGTGCCCCATCGACACAATGTAAATGTCCAATTGATCGAGAAGAGCGGAGGTGTGTGTGAATCTTTCAAACTTCTCTATACAAGTTTACACAGAATATTAAATAAGATGAAAATGCAATAACATGGGAGGTACAATTGAGAATGTTGTATGGAAAATATATTGTTAATCTCACTTTGATCAATTGTCCTTGCTCCAAATTTTTGTACTTTATCCGGGAAAATACATCCATCTGCAAACCGCTTATCCTGCACACAGGGTAGCGGGAGGGCTATCCCAGCCAACTTCACGCGATAGACAGGGTACACCTTGGACTGGTCTCCAGCCAATCGCAGGGCTAACACACAGACATACAACCATTTACACCCACACACCTATGGGCAATAGAGTCACCAAAGTAACCAATGCATGTCTTTGGACTGTGGGAGGAAGCCAGAGTACCCGGAGAGAACCCACACAGACACAGGGAGAACATGCAGACTCCACACTGAAAGGCCACTGGGCGGAGTCGAACCCAGGACCTTCTTGCTGTGAGGCGACAGTGCTAACCACCACGCCACCGTGCCGGCACCTATCTTTCTTAAAAAGGCTTAACTACAAAGCTTTGCTCTGCACACGTTTTCCAAAGACAGAATCAGAAAAATAATCATGGAACACATTCATTGCTGCTCCATCGTCAGCTAACATTACACAGCTCACTGATGCAGATCGGATTCATGCAACGTGCCAGCACCGGACCACGTGGGACTAGACTTAGTACATATGTCTGCAGATCTGTAAGCATGAATGAGCCCAGCTAAAACTGTGTTTTGTATCAACATTGTACTGAGCCCTTTTACACAATTGATATACAATTTGACTGCACGCTATCAATAACTTTGTTGAGCCAGGGCTTAATGGCCACAAAGCTTTCTGATTGTGGTTGGGGTCTGAAACCGTGTTCGATACTTGATAGTCAGATTGTGTGAGTCCCAACACACAGATTTGTAGATCCTGCCTTTCTCGAATAACTAGTAACTAGTAAATTATAAGGACCACTGACAAATACCGTTTGTGGAAATATTTATTACATGACCTACTGAAAGGTTACATTGGACAATCACCACTTTTTATGAATGTGTTACGCCGTCTTGGACGGTTAGGTGAATGGCCGTAATACAGGCGAGCACTAAATTCATTGTGGTCAAGACAGGAGAGAATCAACCTTAACATAATTAACATAATCTTCTTTATTGAACGGTTTCCAATTTAATAAACAAATGATGTTAGGGTCTCAAAGGCCAAAACAATAAACAAAACTCCCCCCACTAATTAGAAAATAAGAGTTCAGCTTTCCTACTAGAAATAAACAGAAACAATACTGAGCTCCCCATCTAGCCACAAAACAGGAGAAAACAAGCATGTTACAATAAACGGCAGAGAACCCCTACAGAAGCTCACGGTGGGTCTGTTAGGGACCCGGTTTTCTTAACAATTTCCACCCAGTCTGTGCTTTTGTTTTGCTTGTTTTGTTTTTCCACCTAGAGTTTCCAACCGTGTGTTCCGCCTCCGGCCCCACCCCTCTCCCAAGTGCCCAACTGTGGCTCATTCCGGGGATCACTTGTGACGAGCATGAAGGCTCCTGCATTCAGAGGCTCGTCGTCAGTCCGTCCCAGTACCCAAGCTGGTCTCAAGTGCCGTTGAGACTGAGATAACCACCATAACGCTAACCAGTTTTTCATGTTTTTGTTTGTTTTTTGTATCAGACTCACGGAGTACCACGGAGCACACGTGACCTGTTTTTGAGTTGGACTGTGAGTATGGTGTCGGGCCTCGGGTTTCCACACCAGACCCTGGTTGAGCCGCCCCAGACCGCCAGACGTCGGTGGAGTTTCCCTCCCGACTCCAGTTGAGCCAGAGGAGCGCTTTCTGTTTCCCTTATTCACCTTGTTTGTTTTTTTGTGGAAAATAAAATCATTTTGGCTGAAAATCCAAGGCTGCTGTGCGTGTGCTTTTGGGTCCACCAAATACACCCCCCCTAACAGAACGGACTGACCAGCAATGGACGCAGCCGCCGCAGCAGCATCCCCTCCTGAGGAACACCTGCGGAGGGCGATTTACAGCCATGGCACCATTCTCGGGCAACACCAGCAGGTGCTGCAAGAGCTACGGGACTCCCAACATACCCTTGGGGCTCAGATAACCGAGATAGCAAGCATGATGCAGGGCCTGGCGCTCCACCGTTCACCTCCCCCAGAGGACTTGTCCAGCATCTGTGAGTCTTTTGTCCCCTCACTAGTGCCTTTTGATGGAGCGTCTGGAGAGTGCAGAGGATTCCTGCTACAGTGTGGATTTGTTTTTAACCAGCGACCCCGCACATTTTCTTCAGACAATGCAAGGGTGGCCTATACTGTGGGGTTGCTGCGCGGCAAGGCACTGGTTTGGGCTGAAGCATTGCTCAGCAAACGCAGTGCAGACCGGGTCACCTACCTGTTCTTCTTAGAGGAGTTCAAGAAGGTGTTCAACCACCCGGTTTACGCTAGGGATGTGGTTCAGCGCCTGGTCAGTCTTCGCCAGGGGACGACCAGCGCCGCAGAGTATGCTGTGGATTTACAGATCCTGGCCACTGAGTCCGGTTGGGGCAAGGAGGCGCTAAAGGATTTATCGCAACAGTCTTTCGGAGCTGTTGAAGGACGAGCTTGCGGTCCGGGAGGTGCCAGAGTCATTAGAGGAGCTTCTCACACTCTCCATCAACATGGACAACCGTATCTGGGAGCGCCGTCGGGAGAGGAACTACAGGCCCCCCACTCCTGCTCGGCAGTCGACTTCCGTCTCCGTCAGTTTTCTGTTGACGAGCACGTTCCAACGATACAGCTCTGCACGTCACCCCTCTTCCGCCCCAGGACCTCCCCCGTTGGAGCCAGAGGAGCCGATGCAGCTGGGCCAGGCCCATCTCTCCCCAGAGGAGAGGGAGAGGCGTTTTCGCTCTGGAGGCTGCCTTTACTGTGGGCAGTTAGGCCATCGTATGGCCGTCTGCCCTGTTCGGCCAAAAGAGAGAGCTCGCCGGTAAGAGTGGGGGTGCTGGCGAGCGATTCAGAGAGAGTTCCTCATGCCAAGCCTCAATCTGTGTTTCCTGTCACCCTGTATCTTTCATCTGGTCCGGTGCACCTGTCCGCACTTATTGACTCAGGGGCCGAACAGAACTTTTTTGGACACTTTTATTAAGCAGAAAGGCATCCCAGTGGAAGCATTAGAACGAGCTCAGCTGGTGAGGGCACTGGATGGCAGTTCTCTGGCAGAGATAACACACCGGACGCAACCCATCTCTCTAATCGTGTCTGGGAATCATCGTCAGGAGACACAGTTCTACGTTTTCCCTTCCCCCCCAAATACCACTGGTCCTGGGCCTCCCCTGGCTCAGGGATCATAATCCACAGATCGATTGGGCGGGGAGCAGGATCACAGGCTGGAGTTCCACTTGCCACTCCCGCTGCCTCTGGTCTGCAGTTCCCCGTCAGGTTCTTCCCTCAGGCAGACCAGACACTGGCCCTAGCCTCTCGGCGGTGCCCGAGGAATACAGGGACCTAGCAGAGGTATTTAGCGTGGAGCGGGCGGTTTCACTTCCTCCTCATCGCCCGTATGATTGCGCTATTGATTTGCTTCCGGGAGCCCCACTACCTACACGCCGGCTATATAATCTCTCCCGTCCTGAGCGCAAATCCATGGAGAAATATATTACAGACTGTTGCCGCAGGGATCATACGTCCCTCATCTTCCCCTGTGGGAGCGGGATTCTTCTTCGTCTCCAAGAAGGACAAGACCCTCCGTCCGTGCATCGATTACAGAGGTTTGAATCAGGTTACTATAAAAAATAAATATCCATTACCACTTATCTCCTCTGTTTTCGGGTCCCTAGCTGAAGCAAAGATATTCACGAAACTGGACCTCCGCAATGCGTATCATCTGGTGCGCATCCGAGAGGGGGACGAATGGAAGACTGCCTTTAACACACCGTTGGGACACTTTGAATACCTGGTGATGCCTTTTGGATTAACTAATGCCCCTGCCGTTTTTCAGGCACTGGTTAATGATGTGCTACGTGACTTCCTAAACCGATTCGTGTTTGTGTATATTGATGACATTCTCATCTTCTCTCCGAATCCCCAGGAGCACATTAACCATGTCCG